TATGTGCATATTCTATATGTGTATATATACATACATAAAACTATATGTGTGTATACACATACACACACACACAGTTTTAATGGAAAATGATGAGTAGGAGAGCTGTCAGTGATAAAAAGCTTAGGGCTGCTTCTTTTTTCACATTAAATATTTTTTAAAACATGACTTTAGCATGGTAAGAGGCTGATTATAATGTCACATTATAGAGCACTTTAAAGTTTGACTAGAACGTAAAGTATGTAAAGAGGAATACTGTAATAAGCAATAAGCCTAGAGAGGCAGATTGGAGCTATCCCAGTTCTTTTATCCTAGAGGCAAGATGAAACCCATGGAGCTTCTTGGGAGGAAGATGGTCAGGCTATGCTTTAGGGATATTGCTTTGTTAGTTGTGTGAAGGATAGATTGGTGAGGGGAGACCACTGAAGCCTGAAGCCCAATTAGGGGATTATTGCAATAGTCCAGGGGGAAAGGTAATGAAGGCCTGAAGTAGGGCAGTGACCACTTGAGTGAAGAGAAGGGATGTTTCTCTAAAATCTATGATCCTGCGAAACTATGTATGCTAAGAAGAGCAATGATAATCAAACAGCTCTGCTGATGGGGCTCTTTGTAAATACCAAGGCCATACTTATATTTTCAATTGATTCTCATGTCATCCCTACGAGATGGGAAGTACAAGTATCAATATCCCCACTTTCTAGCTGAAGAAACTAAGGCTATTTCACCTATATCATGACACACCCCAGCCTCTAAGTACTAGTTGTTACTAAGTAACAACTTCAGTTGTCAATTCTGTGCATTGGGCGGTCAGGAAAAATTCACGGGAAGAAGCGGCACAAGCTCCCCGGTAAAGGCTCCTATTTGGGGTGCGTGGATCATTCCAAGGGGAATAATTTAAATTAAGGGGTGTAACCTCAAGTGGATGCAAAGACAGTGACAGAGACCTATTTACCCAATGGGAATAGGGATTTGTGTTGGAAAGAAGAAGGCAGCTATAAAGCTGGGTAAACAAAGTAGAGCCAGATTGGAGAAGGCCTTGGAAGGTGGGCAAAAGGATTTGGACTTGGCATGAACCACTTTAGGATCATAAGCAAGATGAGAGATATGCGGTGAATTGGTTTGGCAGGGATTGCTTACCTGCGTGCAAGGTAGCCCCGGGTGTACCTCTGCAGAGTTAGGGTGGCCCCGCGCAATCTGTGGTACTTCACTTTCTGTAGCCAGCCCCGCACGGTCTTTTGGATCATGAGGGTGGCTGCCCGGACTTTGTCTGCCCGGAGTTTTTCCAAGTATGCTACCTGGCCTGCCCGGAAAAAGATTTTGGTGCGGCCAAACTGGAATGCGTCAGGGTCCTTGGAGAAGCGGGGAGGAAGGTGATAAATTATCAGTAAGGCTGTAAAGCAACATTCACAGAGCATCTAGAGTAGGGTTGCTTAACCAGGGACCTACAGACCCCCAAGAGGTCCCCGGATAGATTTCAGGGGACCACGAACT